CTTTACGAACTTTGTCTGGAATGGGCTTTGCTGCCTGGATGCAAGTGAATGGAGCGCAGCGAGCCAGACCTGAATGATCTGTCAAGGATGAGCGTGAAGCGACGTTCTTTTTATCTTCTCCTGGAAGTGGTGCGATGGTTCGCGCTCGGCGTGTTGTTGCTCGTCGCGTTCCCTCCCGCCGTGGCGCATGCCCAGGCAGGAGGAGATGATGCCAGGCTCGACCCGATGGCCGCCATCGGCCTCGAGGGGCAGACCGTGACCGCGATCCGCGTCGAGGGAAACCGACGCGTCGAGCCGCAGTCTGTGATTCGCCAGCTGCGTACACAAGCTGGCGAGCCTCTTAACCTCAAGGTCCTCTCCTCGGATATCGGGCGCATCTGGCGGCTCGGCTACTTCGAGGACGTCAAGGTCGACGCCCTGCCAAATGATCGCGGCGTCGAGCTCGTGATCCTGGTGATCGAGAAGCCAGCGATCGCCTCGGTGACCTTTGAAGGGAGGGACAACCTGAGCGAGGACGACATCAAGGAAGTCGTCAACCTCAAGAAGTTCCAGATCCTCGATGTCTCCAAGGTCAAGAGCAACGCCGAGAAGATCCGCGAGCTCTACCTCGAAAAAGGCTACTACCTCGCCGAGGTCGACTACGAGATCCGACCCCACGAGGAGTACGCCGACCAATCACACGTCGTCTTCATCATCCACGAATATGCCAAGGTTCAGGTCAAGCAGATCACGTTCCTTGGCAACAAGGCGATCAAGGATGACGAACTCACCAAGATCATGGGAACGCGTGAGGGGGACTGGTTCTCGTTCATCACGAGCTTCGGGAACTTCCAGGAGGAAGCCTTCGAGGGAGACCTCCAACGCCTGACCGCTTATTACTACGACAAGGGCTACGTGCAGGTCGAAGTGGGCGTGCCCACCGTGCGCCTCTCGCGCGACAAGCGCTTCCTTTACATCACCATCCAGGTCTCCGAGGGGCCGCGCTTCAAGGTCGGCGACGTCGACCTGCAAGGCGACTTCATCCTCCCCAAGGAGGAACTCTACGAGAAGACAAAGCTCAGGAGCGGCGAGTTCTTTAGCTACGGCACCTTGCGCAAGGACCTCGAGAAGCTGCGCAACCTGTATCAGGACGTGGGTTACGCGTATGTGAACGTCAACCCGCTCACGCGCGTCGATCCGACCGAGAAGATCGTCCACGTGACCTACGATATCCAGAAAGGTAGCAAGGTTTACTTTGGCCGTATCGAGGTCACTGGCAACGCCAAAACGCGCGACAAGGTGATCCGCCGCGAGCTCGTGATCGAGGAGGGCATCCTCTACTCGAACAAGCAGCTCGAGCTCTCCAAGCAGCGCGTGCAACGCCTCGGGTTCTTCGAGAACGTCGAGATCACCACGCAGCGCGGTGAGCGCGATGATGTCATCAACGTTCAGGTCAAGGTCACCGAGCGCCCGACGGGAACCTTCCAGGCGGGTCTTGGCTTCTCGAGCACCGAGAACATCCTGGCCAACATCCAGCTCTCGCAGAACAACCTCTTCGGTCGTGGCCAGGTGCTCACGATTCAAGGTCAGCGCTCGGGGATTCGTACCCTGTTCAACCTGCGCTTCTCAGAGCCCTACCTGTTCGACACCAAGACGCGCTTCTCGGTCAGCGGCTACAGGTTCGACTTCCTGTTCCCCGATTATCAGCAGCAATCCACGGGCGGGAACGTCTCGCTCGGTTATCCGTTGTTGCAGGATTATCTGGTCGCCAAGGATCTCTCGTTCTCGGTGACCTACAAGCTCGAGGATGTGGTGATCACACCCGGCGGTCGCACCGCGCGAGATTCACGCCAGATCGGCAGCCTGTTCCGTGGTGGCGTGACCTCGTCTGTGGCGGGCGCGCTCTTCTTCGACTCGCGCGACAACCGCCTCTTCCCGACGAAGGGGCAGTTCCACTCGGCGCGAGTCGAGTTCGCCGATGATATCGTGACGCGCAGCGAGACCGAGTTCGTCAAATACGACCTCGAGACGCGCTACTACTTCCCGTTGTTCTGGCAGTTCGTGCTGCGTTTGAACGGGCAACTCGGTTACATCACCAACATCGACCCGAACAAAACGATCCCGCTCCAGGAGCGCTACCTGGTGGGTGGTCCGAATACAATTCGTGGTTTCAGGCGTTTCTCCCTGGGGCCAACCCGGACGGTCGCGAGCAACAGCTCGGACCCGGGCACGGTTGGCTCGGAGTTCCGCATTGGCGGCAACAAGCAGCTCTTGCTGACGGCCGAGGTCGAGTTCCCGATCTTCACGGCCATCAACCTCAAGGGTGTCTTGTTCGCCGACGCGGGTAACGCCTTTGGCGAAGGGCAGACCTATACGCTGGTGCCCGATTTGATTCGCCCGGATACGAACGACTACGAGGACGCGTTGCGTACCGCCGTAGGGTTTGGTTTCCGTTGGTTCAGCCCGATCGGGCTGCTCAGGTTCGAGTGGGGTATCCCGCTCCAGCGCCTGCGTGACGAGGAGCCGCTGGTGTTCGAATTTAGCATCGGGAACGCGTTCTAAACCTGGTGAGGGTTCTTCTTTGAATCATCCTTGTGAGAATAACTCACCACCGACACCGTCTGTCTCTATGATGAGGGGACCTCGTGCAGGTGTTTATGATTGCCGAGGTGGTCGCGGAAACGTGACGTGTCCACTGGACTTATGATAGGAACAGTTGCCATTTCCCCTGGAGGGAAATGGCGCATGCAATACGCTAGAAAAGAGCGCCTGCGATAGTGTGCTCTCGTTTGAACATCGACGGAGATTGAACCATGGCCAACCAAACTTTCTCGATCCTCGGCAAGCGCATCTCGCTCCTGCTCGGCGGTCTGCTCATCGCCCTGGCGCTCGTATTGCCAGCATCCAGCGCGTTCGCTCAAGATGCTCCAAAGATCGCCTACGTCAACCTGCAGCGCGCGCTCAACGAGGTCGAGGAGGGCAAGAAAGCAAAGGCCAGCCTCAAGAAGGACTTCGAGAAGAAGCAGAAGGCGCTCAACGCCAAGCAGGAAGAACTCCAGAAGCTCAAAGAGGAGCTCGAGTCTGGCGGCATGATGCTCTCCGAAGAGGCCAAGCGCCAGAAGGTCATGACCTTCCAGCAGAAGATGTACGAGCTCCAGCAGGAGTACATGCAGATGCAGGGTGAGCTCGCACAATCCGAGGCCAAAGAGACCCAGAAGATCTTCGACAAGATGGGCAAGATCATCGAGGAGATCGCCAAGGAGCGCAAATACGACCTCGTGCTCGAGAGCACCGAGTCCGCCATCCTCTACGCCGGTGAGGGCATGGACTTCACCGACGAGCTGATCAAGCGCTACAACGCAAAGCACTGATCGATGAGATTGCTTTCTGGCGACAGCAACAAGACAGACGCGACGTCACGCCATGCGTGGCGCCGCGTCTTGTTGATCGCGCTGACCGCTTGCCTGGGCGCCTGTGATTGCGACGACAAGTTGCGCAAGATGCTCAGTGACGGCAAAGGCGAACAACGTCGTGGGGATACGAGAAAGGATGGGAGCGATCAGCCCATATCGTCCGATCCCACAGAGACCGAGCCCAACGAGAGCTCCTCGCAAGCCAGCGCCTACGAGCTCGGCAGCGAGCTTCGGTCGGTCCTCTCCGAGTTCTCCACCCAAAAAGACATCGATTGGTACACGATCACCTCCAGTGAGGATCGTCTCATCGAACTCACCGTGGACCCCACAGAGCCATCACTCGATCCCGTGATCGTGCTCTCGGTGGGCGGCGAAGAGCTTCGTTATGATATCGCCAGGGCGGGCGAGCCCGAGGTGATCCCGGTGGTTTTGCTCGGCAGCCAGAGGTTGTTGCTGCGCGTCGAGGCAAAGGCTGGCGCCGGAAAGTACGCCATCCGCTTCAAGAAGCGTTTGGCGGGCGGTCAGATCGAGTCTGAACCCAATGACCTTCCCGCTGTCGCCACTCGCCACGAGGCTCCTGGCGAGATCGAAGGGTTTCACGATCGTCCCCAGGATACAGACCTGTATCACCTGGTCTTCCCCGAGGTGCCCGAGGGTGAGGTCGCACTCTACGCGATCGAGGTGATCGCATCGCGCGAGCTTGGCGAGCGCGTATCGTTCATGCTCACGCCATCCGGCGAGCCGATCATGACCTCGCAGATCGACCCCGAAGGTAAGATCGCGCTCCCGAACCTCGCGATCACCAAGGCGCGCCCCGACCTCTGGCTAAAGCTCGAGGGCACCGAGAAGTTCTCCAGAGAGCAGCCTTATCGCGTCGTCGTGCGCGCAGTGAAGGCGGGGGATCGCGCGGCCGGTCAGTTCTTTGACGCCGAGCCCAATGATAGCGCCGAGGCTGCTCAGGAGCTCCTCATGGGCAACGATCCGATCCAGGTCGCGGGGTTCTTCCACCGCGCCGAGGATATGGATTACTTCGCGCTGGTGTTGGGGGATTCCGAAGCGACCACAGCTCCAGATGGAGCACCCGCCGAGGAGAAGCCCGAACCCTCGAAACTTCCCGATAAGTCGGAGAAGATCCAGGACCTGTTCGGCGATGATAAGCCGACCGGGCTCGGTGCTGCGCCTGGACCTTCGCTCCCGCCGCTTCCCGTGAAGACGCCTCCGCCGCACGCGCTCAAGCTCGAGGTGAAGCCGCTCCGCGACGACCTCAAGTTGGTCCTGCGCTGGGGGGCATCCGGCGAGGAGCGAACGCACCTGGCGACCACGGCTGGCGAGTCGATCTCACTGTGCAACGTGCCGCTCTCGGCGGGGAAATACCCCTTCGCCATCGCGCCACAATCACTCGGCGACAGGGCCGAGGGCGTCGATGGTAAACCCGACTATCGCGTGGTCATCGAGGATTTGCTCGCCGGTTCTCCCGAAGGCTCGGCTCGCGAGATCGAGCCAAACGAGACCTTCGAGCAACCCGATGCGCTCCCGCTCGGAGGCAAGGTGACAGGTTACCTCGCGTCGAGCGCAGATCGCGACATCTTCGCGCTCGATATCCTCGCCACAGAGGGAGCAGATCCGCTGGCACCGGCGCCTTCGACGACGATCGAGTTGGCCGCGCACCCGCTCGACACGATCCTCAAGGTCTATGATGACCAGGGGCTCGTGTTGGCGGAGCAGGATACGGGCGGGGCAGGGCGCGCCGAAAAGTTCACCTTCCGCCTGCCTCCCGGGCGCTACTTCGTGGAGGTGCGCTCCAAGCTCGGGTCTTCCTGCGAGCCTTATCTTCTTGGCGCGCGTCGCTAGCCTGCTTCTCTCTTGCCCTCCATGAAGTGATCCTCCATGATGGCGACCGCCTGGAATGAAGAGGTTGGAGTGTTGAAGCCATTTCTCATCGGAATCGCCGGAGGATCGGGGTCCGGAAAGACAACTGTCGCGCGTCGTATCGCGGAAGCGTTCGACCCTTCCGAAGTTGTCTTTATGGACATGGATTCCTACTACAAGGATCTCGCGCACCTGACATTGCCCGAGCGTCGTAAGATCAACTTCGATCACCCTGACGCGTTCGACACAGAGTTGCTGGTCGAGCACTTGCAGCAGTTGAGTGATTTCAAACCGATCGATAAGCCGACTTATGATTTCTCCCGCTCGACGCGCGCGGCACAGGTCATTCGTTTGAACCCTGCGCCGATCGTGGTGGTCGAGGGAATCCTCGTGCTCGCCGTCAAGCGCGTGAGGCAGATGCTCGACGCGCGTATCTTCGTGTCGACAGACGATGACATTCGGTTCATCCGCCGATTGCAGCGCGATGTCACCGAGCGTGGCCGCCGCCTCGAGTCGGTGATCGAGCAATACACCGGGACTGTGCGCCCGATGCACCACGCGTTCGTCGAGCCGAGCAAGCGCCACGCCGATGTGATTATCCCGCGCGGTGGTAAGAACGAGGTCGCCATCCGTATGGTGATCGCGGACATGCGCGCTCGCGTCGCCAAGACAAGGATCGATGGTCCTGACGCGGAGAGTCTCTACGGAGAGGATAGTTACTCGGAGATGGAAGAGGAGTGACCTCTCGGGCGCGGTCGATCAAGGGAGCTTGATGATTCCCATCGCGAAGAGCGCTCCGACCGCGCCGCCAGCCAGACAGATCAAAAAGAAGAGCACCACCCCGAGGGAGAAGCCACTGCGCTTCTCCTTTTTCTTTTCGATCGCGCGCTTCTTCTTGTCCTGAAGCTGTGGGAATGCGCCCGACTCGACGTCGCGCACGAGCTCCTTGGACTTCTTGGGGTCCCAGGACCACTCGGCGGACGGGTCCTGATCAGGGGGCGCGAGGTTCGGGTTCGGCGGCTGCTGTGGCGTGTTTGCCTTGGGGAGCAGGATCTCGGCGCTGGTCGGAGCCGAGTCATCATAGGCGTGAGGACTCGGCGGGAGCGTGTCACTCGCCATATGCGATGGGACCTCTCCGGGGGTGATTTCATCCGCAGAGGAGGTGGTGCGGTCCAGGCCTGATAAGCGAGAGAGGCCCGCCATCGGGGTCTCGGGGACGATCTGTTCGTCATCGAGGACGAACATGTTGCCCGCAGGTGCTTCGCCACCCTTGCCGAGGTCGAGGTTTGCTGGCGTGGTTTTTGGCTGCGTGAGCAGAATCACCTCGTCATCTGTCGGAGGAAGCTCCACGACGGTGATGATCGAGGAGACGCTCCCCAACTCGCGCTGGTTAAGTCTTGGCGGAGGGAGGTCCTGAGGATCTTCTTCGACGCCATTTGGCAGCAGCGCGCTCGCCAGTGAGATCTGTTGATCAGCGAGCATGCTGAGCGCGCTGATCTCGTTGCTCGCGCTGACGGCGCTCTCGCGCACAGGCTCGCGTGGCGCCTGTTTGCTTGGAAATGCGCCGAATGGGACGGCGTCCGAGCGGCGGTCAGGGCTCGTGTCCGGGACGACCTCGTTCTCGCTCGTGTCGTGTCGGCGAGTGATGCGATCGAAGGTCGAGGTGTCCTCGCGCGAGATCTCGATGCTGTCCTCGCTGGGAGGATCGTCGTACCACTCGAGCGTGGGAGGTTCTTCGGTGATTTCTGCGCCGAGCGCAGCTCCCGAGGCAGCGTTTGGGTTTGGCGTGAGCGAGAAGAGCGACGCGGGGAGCGCGGTGATTTGGGGCTCGGACGCGTCGAGCGCGCGCAAGAATTCAGCCGCGGATTGAATGCGGAGCGGCTTGTCCTTGTGGAGCGCGTGCATCACGACGCGCTCGAGCTGTGTCCCGGCGAGCGCGCAGCTTTCCGGGAACGGCGGCACCTCGGTGAAGAGGTGCGCGCGCATGATCTTGACCGGGTTTGGATCGTTGAAGGGGGGATGGCCTGTGGCCATCTCGTACATGATGACGCCGAGCGCGTAGAGGTCTGTGAGGTTATCGACCTCTTCTCCGGCGGCCTGTTCTGGCGACATGTACACGGGGGTGCCGACTGTCGAGCCAGTCACGGTCAGGCGGCGCCCGCTGGTTTCTCCGCCACCCGGTTCGGCCAACTTGGCGATGCCGAAGTCGAGCACTTTGACAAAGTCAGTGTCTTCGCCAACGCGGGTCAGGTAGATGTTCTCGGGTTTGAGGTCGCGGTGCACGATGCCCTGTTCGTGGGCTTCGGCGAGGCTCTTTAGAACCTGCCTGGCGATGTGCAGGATGCGCTGTTGTTCCAGCGTGCGCTCGCGCTTCAAGACATCCGCCAGATCCTCGCCATCGAGCAACTCCATGACGATAAACAACAGGTTATCGGCCTGCCCGTAGTCATGGATCGTGATGGTGTTGGGGTGTTTGAGGCGTGAAGATAGATGAGCCTCGCGCTTGAAACGCGCGACCACGTCTTCGATGGCCATGAACTGCGGAGGGAGGACCTTGACGGCCACCTCGCGATCCATGTTCACCTGTCTGGCGCGGTAAACCATTCCAAAACCGCCTCGACCGATCTCGTCGATGATCTCATAGCGGCCGGCCAGGACATGCCCTGTATGGTTTGGCTGATCTTGGCTCATAACTGGATGTACTTGTCCCTGTTGTGGGATTCCCTCTAGGGAGTGTACGGAGAAATCCCTTGTCGGGGCAAGTGGATCTACAGAAATAGCATAACCACTGGAAAACTCCGTGCGTCCGAAAGCAACACGTTGTATTCCAAGGTCGAGCGCATGTCACCTTCTTTTGCGAGACTTCCTTGTCTCACTCCGCGACCATCTTGAACTCCTCATCTAAAAGCAAGCGCGATCATTTGCTGGCGCAGCCTCGCGCTTTGCTGGCCGCGTGTGTGCGGCGCGCGCGCGCTCTTTTTCCCAATCTTCAGCACGACTTCGAGCCGCTGGCGAAGGTCATCGGTCCCTCGTGGGCGAGTGCATTCATCTCGTGTGTCGAGGAGATCGATTCCCTGGTCGACATGCAGGACGTCGACCAGGTGTGCGACGACAACGCTGTCGCACACGACGCGACCTTTGACGTGAGCGCGCGCAAACAGGCGGGCATTTATTTCACGCCAGCGGGAGTATCGGCGGGGATGGCGGCTGCCATCCCCGCCGATACTCCCGCTGGTGGAACGATCCTCGATCTGAGCGCTGGCGATGGTGGCTTGTTGCGCGCCGCGCTCGTGGCGAGGCCCGAGCTTTGCTATTTCGCCGTCGAGCGCGAGCCAGCGCTCGCGATAGCCTGCGCGCTCGGGCTCCTCGAGGCTCGCATTCTGTCAGGACAGGATATCGCCACTTGCAAAGACAGGGTGCTTGTCGGTGATGGGCTCTCGCTCGATGTGGACGATGCATTGAGCGAGCATGGCAGCTCCGTCGCGGTGATCCTCGGGAACCCTCCTTACGTGGGCGAAAAGGGAAACCGTCAGATGTTTGCCGAGCTCAAGGCAAGCCACGAGCATTTGCAGCGCTTCTTTCGCGCGCGCATCGATCTCTCCTACCTGTTCCTTCACCGCGCGCTCGATCTGTTGCCCGAGGGAGGGCGCCTCGTTTACCTGACGAGCGAATACTGGTTGATGGCCAGTGGCGCGGACGCTTTGCGGGAAGACCTCGCCAGACGAAGCGCGCTCGAGTTGTTTCTGCGCGTCGATGGCCAGCCGTTGTTCCAGGATGCTCCCGGACATCACTCGTTGCTCACGGTCGCCAGAAAGCAAACCGCGTCGCAGGCGGCGTTTGCCGAGCAAACGCCGCGAGCGATCGAGCTAGAAGAGGTCCCCACGAAGGCGCAGTGGCCATCGGTCATGCGCGCCGCGCTCGAGGGGGAGGTCGAAGAGGAGCCGCTCGCGCTGCGTGCGCCAGCGCTCGGATGGCAGCCCTTTGGCGAAGCGGAGCTTCGACGGTGTGCTCGTCAATGGCGCGCGCAGCACTCACCGCTCGCTGACTTCGTCCAGGATCGCCAGGGGTTTGTCTCTGGCGCTGATCGCGTCACGCGCAGGCACCTTCGCATCCTGCAAGAAACCGACGAGGACGCCGAACTGCCCGAGGTGGGCTCGCCGCTGTTTTTGATGGAGGGAGACGAGATCCCGAAATCACTGGCGGCGCTCGGAGACGAACTCGTGAAGCCACTGATTCGTGGGAGTGAGGTGGTCGCGGGCAGGATATGGCTGCGACCTCCAGGTCAGGTGTTTGGATTATACATCGACGGCGAGCTCGAAGGGGAAGCGCTCGCTGCGGTCATCGAGCATCTCTCGCCGGTGCGTCCTGTGCTCGAGCGTCGGCGCGAGGTCGAGCGCGGCAGGATGCCCTGGTACAGGTTGCACTGGCCGCGCGCGCGGAGCGAGCAGCAGGGGCCAAAGCTCGTGTGCGCGCGGCGCGCGGGCGGTCCTGTGTTCGGGCTCGATGTAAGCGGGAGCTTTGTCTCGAGTGACTGCACCTACTTGGTCGCGCGGCCAGAGGCCGCGCACCCTGTGCGGGAGCTGCTGCGTGTACTCGTCGCGCTGTCGATGCCAGAGACGGCGCGCGATCTGGTTTGTTTTGGAAAGAGAAAGGGCGCGCTCTACGAGCTTTATTCGGAGCCATTGAGAACAGTGCCGCTGGCGCTCGAGCTCTCCAGGGACGGGGAGGTCGTCTTCGCGCGCGAGGAAGAAGAGGACGCGTGGGGTGCAGTGATTTCGCGCCTCGAGCGCGAAATCACTGCACCCCACGCTTTATCGAGCAGTCCACCGTTTATCGATCTCTTCGATGATTCGGGCGTGACGGGTGCGTGAAAGCTCTTGAGAGTTCGGGTTCTTACTTGACCCTCTCTGAGCCGTGTACCATGTTCCCCCTGCCACGATCGAAAACTCGGCGAGAGGTCGAGCCACCCCTCATGTTTTGCG